TGTGTGTGTGTTTCTGACTGTGTGTGTGTGTGTGTGTTTGTGTCTGTGTCTGACTGTGTGTGTGTGTATGTGTCTGACTGTGTGTTTGTGTCTGACTGTGTGTCTGACTGTGTGTGTGTGTATTTAGAAGGTGGGGTGGGGGGAAGGGTTGGGTGGGGGTGGCGAGGGGGGAGGGGGCGCCTGAGCTTTGTCCTGCCTAGGGCAGCACAAAACCAGGATACACCCCTGCCAATAAATATAAGCTTAATTTGATCAATAATTTAAGTAGTTGTGTTGACAGGGCCCCAGTACACTGCTTTGCCCTGGGACCCCTAATGTTGTTAAGATGGCACTGCCTAAAGGGCAGCACTCTACACTCTCCTCCTGCCTAACTTCCACCTTGCTTGATTGCAATCTCCTGTCCTACTGTGTTTTTTTAAATCCAACCTCCTCTAGACTGTTAGCTTGTTTGAGCAGGGTCCTCTTCATCATGTTTTGCCTGTCAGTTTTTGTAATTGTCTCATTTATTGTTAAATCTTAAAGTGCTACAGAATTTGTAGCCAATAAATGCTAATAATAATAATAATAATAATAATAATGCATTTTTTTTTCTTTTAACAGCTGTATCCCTGTTTTTGTGTGCTATATATTTCTGATGTAAAGAGGTTACCATTTTGGAGCTACCTTTTATGTACAATTTTATTAAGTTACGTTGGTTCACACTTTTTTTTCACTTCACATTTGTTTGTTTTTTGTAGGTAAAGTTTTTTTGGACTCTAATACCTATTTGTTTTTCATTGATTTTTCCTATTTAGATGTATCCTTACTGATTTTAGGTCAGTGTTTTATTACTCCATTTCATATAGCACTTCCACATACCCCTTTATTTCTTTTTTTCTCTTGGTTATTTTATCAATTCTATTTTATACCCTGCTCCTTTTTATTATTTTACTCTTATTTACTCTAAATGTTAGCTCTTGGATATTACACTTTTAGTAAAATAGAAACATAGAAACATAGAATGTGACGGCAGATAAGAACCATTCGGCCCATCAAGTCTGCCCAATTTTCTAAATACTTTCATTAGGCCCTAGCCTTATCTTATAGTTAGGATAGCCTTATGCCTATCCCACACAAGCTTAAACTCCTTTACTGTGTTAACCTCTACCACTTCAGCTGGAAGGCTATTCCATGCATCCACTACCCTCTCAGTAAAGTAATACTTCCTGATATTATTTTTAAACCTTTGTCCCTCTAATTTAAGACTATGTCCTCTTGTTGTGGTAGTTTTTCTTCTTTTAAATATAGTCTCCTCCTTTACTGTGTTGATTCCCTTTATATATTTAAATGTTTCTATCATATCCCCCCTGTCTCGTCTTTCCTCCAAGTATACATGTTAAGATCCTTTAACCTTTCCTGGTAAGTTTTATCCCGCAATCCATGAACCAGTTTAGTAGCCCTTCTCTGATCCCTCTCTAAGGTATCAATATCCTTCTGAAGATACGGTCTCCAGTACTGTGTACAATACTCCAAGTGAGGTCTCACCAGTGTTCTCTACAATGGCATGATCACTTCCCTATTTCTACTGCAAATACCTCTCCCTATACAACCAAGCATTCTGCTAGCATTTCCTGCTGCTCTATTACATTGTCTGCCTACCTAAGTCATCAGAAATAATCACCCCTAAATCCCTTTCCTCAGATGTTGAGGTCAGGAATCAAATATTCTGAACTCTGCCCTTGGGTTTTTACGTCCAAGATGCATTATCTTGCACTTATCCACATTAAATGTCAGTTGCCACAATTCTGACCATTTTTCTAGTTTACCTAAATCATTTGTCATTTGGCTTATCCCTCCTGGAACATCAACCCTGTTACATATCTTAGTATCATCAGCAAAAAGACATACCTTACCATCAAGACCTTCTGCAATATCACTAATAAAAATATTAAAGAGAATGGGTCCAAGTACAGATCCCTGAGGTACCCCACTGTTGACAAGTCCAAGCTTCGAATATATTCCATTAACTACAACCCTCTGTTGCCTGTCACTCAGCCACTGCCTTACCCATTCAACAATATTGGAATCCAAACTTAAAAATTGCAGTTGATTGATAAGCCTTCTATGTGCAACAGTGTCAAAGGCCTTACTGAAATCTAGGTAAGCAATGTCTACTGCACCACCCTGATCTATAATTTTAGTTACCCAATCAAAAAAATCAATAAGATTAGTTTGGCATGATCTCCCTGAAGTAAACCCATGTTGTCTCTGATCTTGAAATCCATGTGTTTTAGATGTTCATCAATCCTATCCTTTAACATGGTTTCCATCACTTTCCCCACTACTGAAGTAAGGCTTACTGGCCTATAGTTGCCCGACTCCTCCCTATTACCTTTCTTGTAAATGGGCACAACATTCGCTAACTTCCAATCTTCTGGGACTACTCCTTTTAACAATGATTGGTTAAATAAATCTGTTAATGGTTTTGCTAGTACACCACTAAGCTCTTTTAATAGCTTTGGGTGTATTCCATCAGGTCCCATTGACTTATTTGTCTTTACTTTTGACAGTTGAAATAGAACCTCTTCCTCTGTAAACTCACGTGTAATAAATGACTCATTTATCCTTTTTCTCAACTGAGGTCCCTTTCCTTCATTTTCATCTGTAAATACAGAACAAAAATATTCATTGAGGCAGTCAGCTAGACCTTTATCCTCTTCTACATACCTTCCTTCTTTTGTTTTTAATCTAACTAATCCTTGTTTCACTTTTCTTTTCTCATTTATGTATCTAAAAAATGTTTTATCCCCCTTTTTTACTGACTGTGCTATTTTCTCTTCTGTGTGTGATTTGGAAGCTCTTATAACTTGCTTAGCCTCTTTCTGCCTAATCTTATAGATCATTTTGTCTTCCTCACTCTGGGTTTTTTTATAATTCCTAAATGCTAACTTTTTGTTTTTAACTATTTTGGCCACATCTGCGGAGTACCACAGTGGTTTCTTGAATTTTTTGCTTTTACTGACAAGCCTAATGCAATTTTCTGTTGCCTTCAATAGTGCAACTTTTAAATAATCCCATTTCTCTTGGACTCCATTTAAATTGCTCCAGTCTGATAATGACTCCTCTACCCATATTCTAATTTTAGAAAAGTCTGTTTTCTAAAGTCTAAAACTTTTGTTTTTGTGTGGTGTGACTCAGTCACTGTTCTTATATTAAACCACACTGACTGATGATCACTGGATCCTAAACTTTCACCTACAGTAATATCTGATACCAAATCTCCATTTGTTAACACTAAATCTAGTATGGCCTCTTTACGAGTTGGCTCCTCAACAACTTGTTTTAGAGACAATCCCAGTAGGGAGTTTAGAATATGTGTGCTCCTGGCACAAGTAGCTAATTTTGTTTTCCAATTTACATCAGGAAGATTAAAGTTACCCATGATGATAACGTCCCCCTTCATCGTCATTTTAGTTATTTCCTTAACTATCTAACTCTTCAATTTGTCCTGGGGGCCTATAAATCACACCTACACGAGTTACTGTGTGATTACCAAATTCTAACGTAACCCAAAAGGACTCTATGTTTGCCTCACTAACTTTTATTAGGCTAGATTTTATGCTATCCTTCACATAGTAGTTTTTACATTTGCAATTATTATGTGAAGACACATAACTGGAATAATCTAATTTCATGTATACAATGGCAATCCAATAACAACTAATATTTTTTGTTTAGTTTTTTTGATTGCCAAATTAAGAAGATGATAAGACAAAATAGAATGAGATGAGACCAGCTGGGATACAGAAAGATCTGTTAATGTAGTTAAATGTGCATGTCATTTAACCATTTGCATATCCCATGCCTTATTTCATATGACAGATACTTTTAAAAATAACTGTCAAAATATAGTTAAACATAGCCGAATTAGAGCAAGGGAGCTGATAGGACGCACCTGCATTGAGCTCTGATCCACAGGCTACATTAAGTGCCTCGGGCAGTGGAATAACGGGGTTCACACCTGCCCCTAACGCGTCTGAAACACACTGCAGAAATGGTGAAGTGCTCCAAAAAGCTCCATGTGTCACATGCCAGAGGTTCCCGAGATATCCGGGAACATGGCCTGCTGTCTACAGTGAGCTGAACCTAAGATGGCCTCATCCTTGGAGGAACAGGAAATTGACGCTCTGGATGATTTCCCCACAGTGGCCCTCTACATCCCCTCCTCAGATGAGGAGGATGATATTTGTTCCACTAAAGGAGATATAAAATCACTCCTGAAAGAGTTGAAGCAAGTACTGGTTACAGAGGTGGGAAAAGTGAGTGGAGAAGTGTGCATCCTTGAATGCCGAGTGAAGGAGGTGGAAAGAGAGGTGACGGAGTTCCAGCAATTCAAGATCGACACCACAGACAGCCTCACAGGTCTCAGGGAAATCTGTGATTCTCTGCAGGCCAGGATTGCTTCACTAGAAGACAGCAGCCGCCGCAAAGATTAGAGGCATTCCTGACACCATGACCATGGTTGAACTGCCTGCCTATAGAGACTATTTGTTCCCAGACCTTCTGAATCGGAAGTCCACCTCTGCCACACCAGTGGATTGGATTTACTGGGTCTCTCGCCCTGCTGGAGCGCAGAATAAGGGGTCCTGCGATACAATTACACAGCTGTTCTGCATGGGCGATAAACTAGCCATCATGAAAGCCATCAGAAGCATACCCACCTATCAATTTGAAGACCACGCTCTGACATTCTATCATGACCTATCCAGAGCCAACCTAAGATGGAGAACCTCGCTGAGCCACATCACTTAAATACTAAGAGACAAGGAGATAGCCTATTATTGGGGCAACTCTAGATCCCTAATAGTGGAATGAAATAGAATGGTCCTGAAGATGGTGCATGCCACAGAAGTGGTGGTGTTTCTCGGAGAGCTGGGGCTTACACTGCAACCTATCAGCGATCAGAGACAGGGAGTGGAAAAAGAGGCTGTGACCCACACCACCATGCTGGCTTGCACTAACCCCAAGTCCAGGGGGACCCCCATGTCTTGTCTATCCCTGCCACTAAAAGCAATGGACAATACAAACCTTTGCACATGCAGGGACATACTGAAGACACATTAGGCTGTCCACTAACGACCCCATGAGCCTTGCATTACCACAATGCATACTCCACAGTTATTCAACCCCCAATCCTCAGCTAAAATATAAGCCTAGTTATCTAGTTTCAATTTTTATTTTATGTTATTACTATACTTTCACTAATAAGCCTGGTTAATAACTCACATCGTAGCGAGGCAGACAGTGCCAGTGTTAGCGTGGACTAGGGTCCCTAATTCCAGGTTGCACCATTATCTTTATGTATACAAACAAGCTTTCTTAGCATCCTTTAATTCTAACATAATGATTTGGCACTCGTTTATCATATGGCTGAAACCTTCTGAATATTCCATTTGGGAATCTAGATCCAGTGGGTGCGGTGTAATATACCTATGTGTACCTGTATAAGCATATGTAATGTATAGACATCGTAACAGGCTGATTTGATGGCAGTCGGATGCCCATGTTTTTTTCATGTTACCTAAAAAAAAAAAAATGCAAAAAAAAAGTATCCAAATTTAGAAAAGCACCTACTGTTCCCAGGCAACCCTATTAGTCATAGTTAATGGCTTACACTTTGTCGCAGTTTTATTTCTTTGTTGTCTTTTTTTTTTTAAATGAAAAGATATTTGGTAAACTGCATCTTCTAGAGCTGGTATTACTTTCCAAAGTTAAAAAGACCCAATACATTACATTAGCCATTTTAAAAAGAAAATTTAAGCAACCTTGTTGAGAATGAAGTGAAATATGTCCTGCTTAACTTACAATGTGCCAGCACAGTCTTCCACAGGTTCAGTACACTTAATTGCCAGTGGATAAAGCAAGCTAAACTGTAACTAGAGAGACATTACTACTGAAGTGAAACACTTTGCAAAAAGAGAGGCCTCAGATGTCTGCAGCAGAGAATATGCATACACTAACTCTCCCACATCCTCGGGCAAGGCATCGTTCCTGGACTGACAGGCCAGGATAAATATTTCATGAAGGCAGAATGGAAGAGCCTTTAAAAATTTAAAAAGCACAAGGGAGCAGAACAGGTTGGGCATGCTCATATAACAGATTCTTCACCACAGCTAGATTGACAAACAAATCATTTAAGAAGAGATTCTAGGAAAAGGAAAACTTGTTTTAGGTGAAGATATGTTACCAATAATAGTGCACCTCAGCAATGTGATTTTTTTTTTTTTTCAGTGTCACTTCCATATACTATTCTGTTATGCATCCGCTTTTTCAATAAAATAACCATGCACTTAAACATTCGGAAAGCCGGAAGATGTTCTGCAGTGAACTTTCCAGCAGTTTTTCTGTCATTACTCAGCATGCTCTGAGCGTTCATTGCTCAATCCCTTTATACTACTTCTGGAGTTAACAAAATAGAAAGTGCTGATTTGAAGAGAAACAAACATTCCTTAAGGTAACTGTGAATAAAGTATTGGCAACCTCCAGGTAAGTGGAATTTAGATTGTATGTTCACAGTCCTGGTAGTTACTGTCAGAGTGAAAGTAACATCCATTTTCTCAGGTAATGGCTATGCCTCAGTAAACATGCATTCCACTCACATCCCACTGCTATCTTGATCACTCTCTGAGTGACAGAGTTAAACTTGTTCTTTTCTACCATTAAGAGAAGATTTTGTATTAAGCTTAATCTAAGCGTAGAAGTCGATGTCAGCTGTTCCCTTCAATTTTTCATTAGGCAAATATTTTACAAACAGATCAACACTAAGGGCCAGTTGACTCTAAAGAGGAATGGTCACTTCCCAGGCTTTTCAATGTTATACTTACACTAGCCTATATTGGGCAAATATGTATTTGTGAAGTGTGAAAAATAAAATTAAATGCAGAACTCCACATCTATCCTGCTACTGGGTGCCTCCATCAAAGCTTCCTTTCAAACATTGTTATAAGCACAGCCCTTTGCACCTGACAGACGCCACAGAGAATGCACACACAAAACAGGATGAATTAAATAATGGTTTTGTTTTTCATCTTCAGTTGCAATATTGGCCCTGGCTTTGCCTTGTCTTAACTGATTTTTTACATCATATGACTAATCTTTAACCCCTTAAGTACACAATTTCTTGAATAAAAGGGAATCATGACGGAATATTTCCGTCATGTGTCCTTAAGGGGTTAATATATATTTAAAGGAAAACTAAGAACAAGGAAGTAAACACATGTTCACAATGTAGGTCATTTAGAATGGTTATTCAATTGTGACAATTCCAGAGAAGTGACATTACCCCTTTAAATTTAATTCACTGATTAATCTTTAATATTGAAACACACGAGAGCTCTAAACATTTAAGTTTGTCTTAGCAGTAATTACACAAAAGGCCACAAGCTATTTAAAGGAACACGATAGTCACCTAAATTACTTTAGCTAAATAAAGCAGTTTTGGTGTATAGATCATTCCCCTGCAACTTCACTGCTCTATTCACTGTCATTTAGGAATTAAAACACTTTGTTTCTGTTTATGCAGCCATAGCCACACCTCTCCTGGCTATGATTGACAGAGCCTGCATGAAAAAAAAAAAAAAACTGGTTTCACTTTGATTATAAATAGAGAATAGTTACCTTGTTTAGCCAATCAACTTCAAAGATGGAAAATGAAGTATGAGAGGTAAGTAAAGTGGCATATGGTCAGGTGGTGGTGCAGGCTCCACCAAGGGCTTGTACCCAGATAGATTAATAAATTGAAAAATAGAAATGACCTTCAAATAAGGAGATCTAAAGCTGGCAAAAACGTAAATAGATGTAGAATAATACCTAAAAACTCTTAGTAGGTATGGTGTATTTGTCAATGGGGGAACATGGACAAAATTCCAATGTATTAACTAGTGCCCCTATGGAACAAGATAGAATTATGGACATATGTCTTTATTAAATCCTTGCTGAGTAACAAGGGAACACTAACTTCACTCCCCCTTAATGGCCAAAAATGGTAATGCAATTACCTTTATTAATATTGCCAAGGGCAGTGAAAACGATTCCCTCCAAATCTATAGATATAGGCAGAGAGTGACAATCTAAAGGGAGGCTGTCCTAGTATATACAAGCAAGATGATACAAAGTAATACATATACTGTAAACAAACAGCCACCCCTTCTCATCGCTTATACCCAGAGGTGCTGGGCTAGTAAATGAATAATGATAATCCTAAAAAAAAAAGCTTTCCAAACCAATCCTCATTTCTAACCCTTAGTCTCCTCCAACACCTTCGTGGGTGTTCTAAACGATTAAAGCTGCCTAATCTACCATAGCCATAACTAACTAAGAGCCAACACTATAAAAAACTAAGAATGGGTCTAAATACCCATATTGTGCAGTGAGAAATCCCTGGTATAACTGTGAAGTGAAAAGAAAATAAACGAACTAACGCCCAACGCGCGTTTCGGTGTGTAAGAACACCTTCGTCAGGGGATAAGAAGGTGTTCTTACACATTGATATAACGTTACAGATACAATGCAAATAGGCAACGCTGGTGTGTGATATCATAACAAGCCATTCCATCATCAAATCAAGGTCTCGTTTCTTTGATGCTTCATTAATAGACATGTTAACCACAAATGTATGACCGGCACAATGCAATGGTTCCATTTTAATGACAAATTTTGAAGGTCCATGTGACAAACTCCCCTTTTTACATGAGTTTGCCACGAGCTCTTGGAGGAGCCTGCTTGCCAGCCTCCTGCCCACAGACTATGGACCCTGTAAAATATAATGTTAAAGTCTCCGTTCGTGTATTTGAACTATCTGGTTCGGGAACCGAACAGCCGCACGAACCGGAGACCACCCTGGAGCTACATAGAAACAATTTCAACCTCAGTGTTCTAAGTGTTCGTCTAGGTGGCCGCAATTCCTGTGGATGACCGTGAGGTGGCGGCCATCTTGTGGTATTGGCACAGTAAAAGTTTCTTTCTGGCAACTCGACCATGCAGCTAATTTTTGTTAAAGTATCATAAATCCTACTCCTAACTTCGCTTACTTTCTATGCTTCTGCTATTGGCAGCTGGCGATGTCTCTCCAAACCCTGGTCCTGCCTCTACCTACATACCTTGTGTCCACCCTAGAAACCTCTCCAATCTTATATCCATGCTATGTAACTCTCCCTTTAAACCATCCTTCCATTCTGCCCTCTGGAGTGCACACTCAGTGTGCAACATAACTAAATCTACTTCCATCCATGATATATTCATCTCACGCTCCCTTAACTTACTTGCTTTCACTGAAACTTTAACTCTCCTTCTGACACAGCTACCCTTGCTTCGTTATCCTATGATGGTCTACAGTTTACACACAACCCAAGACAGTCTGACATTAAAGGTGGTGGTGTAGGGTTTCTTCTTTCACCCCACTGCTCCTTCGATCCTCTATCCACCCCCCACCCATTCC